TAATGTAGTCTTGCAGTGCTGCTGCCTCCCCACACCGGGGACTGATGCTCTTGTGCCAGCTGGTGCCTAATCCCTGTATTTACCTGGGCCAGTGATTAATATCTACCTGCTCGTGTCGGAACAAAGCGTGCCTACACAGAGATGATAAGGAAAGTACATCCTGACCTGACCTCTTAGTTGAGGCACTTTCAAAGAGAAGAGATTCATTAGCGGGTCCCGGACCATGAAAGGAAAATATGGGGATTGGGATGTTCCCCAGACGGGCACCAGGGACCTTCAAAAGGCTCCCACTCGTATCTAGATCGGTCAGTGAAAGTATTTAACATATACGTGTGTATTCAGGAAATGTGATGAATATTAGTTGATGAGTACAGGTCCCCGTGCTGCAGTGGTGGAATGCTGGCTCTCTGACCTCCCAGGCTGTTTGGAGGGTTTATTCCCGGTGTTTGATGTTGTCACAGACATCCGTGAGCTGATAGAGGTGGACGATGTGATGGAAGATGAATCCCTGAGGTTTGGCCCCAATGGAGGTCTGGTGTTCTGCATGGAGTACTTTGCCAACAACTTCAACTGGCTGGAGGAGAGCCTGGGGCACGTGGAGGATGATTATATATTGTTTGACTGCCCAGGTAAACAAACACCGATGTTTTGGTATCGCTTGCTATTTTATGTCACAGGATAAAATTTGCAGTGCTTTGGGGTTAGTTAACTCGTGATAATTCACTTTTTTTTGCATTATTAAGAACTGTCAGAGTTACTTCCAAATGTTTCAGGAGTGAACTCCATCCTGGGCTGCTCTGGGTGACTGCACTGGTGTTTGGTACCAACATGTGGTGTGGGGACACTGTGGCAACTGCAAATAACACTTAATTGGAGGTCATGGGAGGGAAAAAAAAACCTTTTATTTCTTTTCCACTTCACCACTCAGAGTTGCCTAAAAGAGGATGCTTTTCTGACCCGTTTTTATTTATATTAAGTGTGATACCATGTTATATATAACTGTGAAATATTGCTGTTTGTTTCCCTTTCCTACCCATTGATATTCTGAGTGTGCCCCAGGTCAGATCGAGCTCTACACCCACCTGCCAGTGATGAAACAGCTGGTGGAGCAGCTCCAGCAGTGGGAATTCCGTGTCTGTGGAGTCTTCCTAGTGGATTCTCAGTTCATGGTGGAATCTTTCAAGGTACCCATTTGAAAGCTGTTGGAAAAGTTCATACTGATGAAGAACAAAAAGTCTGGGCCGTTCAGGGAGCTGGGTTTGCCTGGAGGAGAAAATGCTAAGCCCAGGGAGATTTGTCTTCATCTGCCTCAGACGTGGGTTGCAGCAAAGGGTTGCCAGTTGGATGTAAAGAAAACCAGCACTGGGAGAGTGGTCAGACTGCAGCAGGCACAGAGATGGTGCAGGGAACGTTCATGGAGTTAAAACCTGACTGAGCAGCCTGGTCTGACTTAGAAGCTGCTGTTTGAGCAGCTGGAGGACTCAGGTAACCTCCAGAAGTCCCTTCCAATTTGAATTCTTGGAACCTCATGTGATTCCATGAGAGCTTTCTCAGATCTGGAGAGTGAGCAGGCCACTTTCCCCATTGAGCAGGAACAATCCCTGGAAGGGTTTGGGCTTTCTTAATGCCCTTTCCAGTGGCAGATCCAGATCTGCAGCTCCAAAAATAGGTGGGATACTTGGCACCTCCCTTTTCCAACAGGAAACTCCTCATATCCCAACTCCTCATATGGCTTTGTGTCCATGTTCCATATATTCATTACTAGATTTGGTCTGGGGTTGAGTGTGCTGGGTTTGTGTTTTTCTGTACTTTAATACTTCATTTTTCATTCTCTTTTCAGTTTATCTCTGGAATTCTGGCAGCACTCAGTGCAATGATATCTTTAGAGATTCCACAGATTAACATCATGACCAAAATGGATTTGCTGAGCAAGAAAGCCAAGAAGGAAATAGAAAAGTAAGTTCCAAAAAATTATTTACTCTGTTGCGTGATACATTGAGGCAAAGTTCACTCAAAATTCAGTCTAATGTTTCCCACAATTTAAACATCCTCTTCGGTAATGGGACAAGATGGATTTGGTTTATATTAAACATAGTATTTAAACAGCTGAATAGGATGCTTACAGTTTAGTCAGAGTCAAAAGAACAGCTCCATGTTTGTACTGATCTCTGGATTTTTCTGTAAATAATCATCTTGGATGTCTTGTGTCATTCCAAGTGACAGAATTCCAGTGTTAATGATGACTTTGTTTCTCCCAGGTACTTAGACCCAGACATGTATTCTATGATTGAAGATTCTACAAATATATTGAAAAGCAAAAGGTTTAAAAAGCTGACTAAATCTATATGTGGACTGGTAAGTATATTGCTTTTGAACTGGCATCCTTAAATTCAATATCACTTCTTGCCTCTTTTAACTCAGATTAGCATAAGCTTCTTGATGCTGTTGATACTAAACTCTTGATATTTGGATTCTAGCCAATGCATTTTCTGGGAATCCTTTGGGAAATGGCTTTTTCTACTGTGTAGAACTCAGATGTCCTGAGTGGGGAATTGCCACTCTTCTGCAGCGTGGCTTTAAGTGGTATTTTAGCAGTGCAGACAAGAGGGGTTTGAGGAGGTGGCTCAGAGTGCTGTGACTGAGACTTAACTTACTGCATTTTGGTTTGGCTCCTCCCCCCAGATTGATGACTACGGAATGGTTCGATTTCTGCCTTTCGACCGCTCCGACGAGGAAAGCATCAACATCGTCCTGCAGCACATTGACTGCACCATCCAGTACGGAGAGGACCTGGAGTTTAAAGAGCCAAAGGTAAGGGGCTTCTGGGGAGGAGATGAAGAAATTTAAAAAGGATCCACAATATAAATATGTTCTTGCTGATAAATTATTGTCTCGGTACAGTTCAAAACAGCCCATCTTTAGTCTGTTGGTGGCAATGCCGGATCGTCTTCATTTACAGTTAAAAAAGTGGAATTCTTTAATAGCATCTTGTATATGCAGATTGATCAAAGGGTTGTGTTTAAAAGTAGTGCTTTAGGTTTTCAACATCAACAGAATTTTAACTTTCAAATGTCAGAAAAGACTATTGAGATCACTATGATTTTTTCCTTCCTGACTGTTCAAACTCTCCTGATAATTCCTGTGTTCAACCCACGTGTTGTATATGAGACAGAGATTAGAAATGAATTCTGTTGTGTAAAATACATCATAGAAGACTGTGTTAAAATCTGTTCCAAGCCTTCTCTAGTTTTATTATTCAGCTCATAAAACCTAAGGAACAAGTCCAGTGCTTTTATTCCATTTTTAAATTCATTTTTGACTCTTCTGTACTGCAGAATACTTGGATCTAGATTTTGACTTACATATAAGGCTTGTATTTTTCTGTTTTCTCTTTGGCAGGAATATGAAGAAGATAAATCTGCTCTTGTGGATGAATACTTTCAGGATCGTGTGGATGAGTAAAAAAAAAAAAAAAACAACATTCAAACTGGGAGGAAAATACTTTGTTGTAAAAATTAAAAATGAAAAAAAAAATCCCAACCCCTACACAAACACACTTAATGTTTTATCTGTAAGATAACTAATATTTATAGTGAACAGTGAGTTATATGACCTCAAAACTATTTTAATAAACAGTTTTTTATTCTTGTGTGTGTGTTATAAAATATATAGGCCAGTGTTAGCACCTATAAAAGTTCCCCTCATATAGATATATCTCATTTCAGCATAGGAATGCTTGAAACAAATTCATGATTTACTAGAGAGACAAAGCTGAATCTAAGTGTGTTGCTTAGTAGTTAGTTTCATTACTTTAATGAATTGACTTTAAGTGGTTTATTCAATAACATCTTCAGTACAGTGTAACACTTAAAGAAAGAAAATCACCTTAAACTCAGTGATGATCTTGTGAAATTGATGTCATTTTGTAGGAGCAGCTTGGTCAGCAGATGTCTGAGTGTGAGGATTCCCCTTAATGGGAACCAAACCAAGGAGTGAATACTTGGAGGCAACTGCACTTACCTGACCCTGGGGTGGGAGCAGCTTGGCAGAGCTGAGCTTTGTAGTTTCTTGCTTCTAGTCTGGAAGGTGTAATTTTTTTCTTATTCAGAGGTAGGGTGGTTCTTATGTCTGTTTAAATAAAAGGTTCACTATTGATATGGTGCTTATTTTTGAAGTAAGGATCTGCTTTTTCCAAAGCACAGCCAGAACTGGGAGAGAGGTTCAACAGAGCAGCAAATCCTGCATGTTTAGTGGGAAAAGGGTTCCCAAAAATCCCTATGTGGCAGAACTAGATCTGACTGAATTAAACCACTCAAACACTGGGGCAACTTGGATCACTTAACTCACCTCCAGACTGGCACATCCTTGGGTCAAGTCACTGTTGAAAGGACAAAGCCCAGCCCTGCAGTTGGATTACTTTGACTCACCTTCCAACCCTCCCCATTTTTTTGCCCCAACTCATGCCATGAATCATTTACTAGGGGAAAATTCAGCATGCTGGGTCATAGGGAAGGTTATGGCTTGATAGGAATAGGAGTGTGCACCTGAATATATTGTACCCCTGGGAGCACAATGCGTTTGGACCCGTTTTGTCCTTCCTTACACCGGGGCAGCCGAGTGCCCCGTGCAGCCTTTGCACCAGGTCAGAGCAGGTGACCCCCCAGGAGCTCTGGAAATGTGCAGGACAGTGAACCAGCTGCGAGCAAATCATCCCCAATGCGCTCTTGTGATGCTGACATGGCCGAGACTGGAGCTCACCTCTCAGATGTCAGCGAGACTGGAAAAGAAAAGGGTGGCACGGAGTGACCGAGGAGGGGTTACTTGCAGTGCTGGCCAAAGCAAAGGCAGAGAGAGGAAGGAAACCCCACAGGATGGAAAAGAGCAAAGTCCCCATCAGAGCGTGCTTTCAAAGGCTCTTCCCAGTGCGGGCAGCGCCCGGGCAGAGCGCTGCCTCCCGCCATCCCTTCCTGGTGCGGTGCCCCCGGGGCGGTGCAGGGCTCCGCTTCCGCGCTCGCACCGCCTCTGCCGCTGCCTCATTTCCTGCAGCGGGGGCGGAGGGAGCTCTGTGTTCGCTCTCTTGGACGTTCGCCCGCTCCCCTCCCGCCCGGCCCCGCCGAGCCGCCTCCTGCCCTTCGAGATGCCGGTGAGCGGCGGGTGCGACAGCGGGCCGGGGAAGGGGCTCCGCGGCGGGGTCTGGCCGGGGGGAAAGAGGGGCTGCAGCGGCGGGGAGCCCTGCGGAGAGAGGGGGAAGGCTCGTATGGGAAGCTGCTGCAAGGCCAGCGCCCTCTTTTTCTTCCTCTTCCTCCCTCTGGCAGGGATCCACCCGCAGCCGGGAGGGTGGGACCCGGCGCCAGCGGGGCAGAGGGTGGTCAGAGCAATACCTGGCTCTGCGTTTGTTCACACCGCCTTCCCCTGGGTCGAATAAACTGCTTTTTACACCCTGTCACATCCTCCTCAGCCCCCCACAAAACCTGGGCTGGGAGTAGCCCAGTGGGCTGGCACAGCACGGTGAGAACATTTGGAAAGTGCCCCAAAATAATCTTATAAGTTGAAATCGGTTTCCCAGGAAGAATCTGTCATATGCAGAAAGCTTTTTTTTTTTTTTTTTTTTTTTTTTTTTTTTACTTAAACCAGTTTTAGAGTGCACAGAAAGGCCTTTATTTTTAAGTGCGCTAAGCCTGGCATTGACCAGTTTGTGAAGACACAGGGGATGTGATTGCACAGGATCAATAATCAGCTTTCCCCCTGTCCTAGGCTTACCACTCCACATTAATGGACTCGGACACCAAGCTAGTTGGGAACATGGCACTGTTACCCATCAGAAGCCAGTTCAAGGGCCCAGCACCTCGGGAAAGTAAGTTTATAATAATGACTGAAAACCTGCCTGGATGTGGCTCCTCATCTCACGGGTTGCTCCAAGAGCAAGAGTGACAAAGAGGAATCAGCGGTGGGAAATGGAGAGGTTTGCAGTTTGTAGAGGAGGAAAGAAGTTCTCAAATAGTTAAGCTGTGCAGGTTGAGGTTTCTGGGGAGGATGTGATGGTGTGAACCCTGCGTGTCGGAGGAAGTGGGGGTTCAGCTACAGAGAACTCGCTCTGGTCTGTGGCTGGAGACACTCGGCTGCTCCGGAGCAGGCAGTGGGACAGGCAGCACCTCAGGGTGGGGAGCTACAAAAATTGATCCTTTTGTGCTCTTAAAACTCTGAGGATTTACTCAGCTGGTAGAAAAACGAGGAACTGCTGAATTGCTGCTGTTTGTGAAGTGAGATAGCACAGGGGAAGGAGAATAAGGGAGTTAAAGCTCCTAATAAGAGTAGGAAGCTTAAATGTTTCAGTCTGAGCTCCTCAGTGTTTCACACGTTCTCTGTTACATAGTATTGACTTCTGCTTTTTGTATTGCCTTTGCAATAATGCTTATTTATGTATTTCAGTGAGTAAAAGTTATGACAAATGAAGTATAGCAGTGCAGTGTTTAACTCTGTATTTCTTTTTTGTTAGCTAAGGACACTGATATCATAGACGAAGCCATCTACTACTTCAAAGCTAATGTTTTCTTCAAAAATTACGAAATTAAGGTAATTTTTTTTAATATACTATGTAGTAGTTCTTTGGGAGGTTGGTGCTGTGAATATAAATTTATTTTCAAGGAAATAATTCTATTAGATCACAAAATCTCCCCTTCCACTTAATCTTTAAAGCTGGGTAGATGTCTTGAATTGCAAGTCCCTCTCTCTTGGGGAAACTAGGCCAAAATGGCTTGAACTCATTCCTGTTTCAGACTTTTATCAGTTCCACAAAGTCTCCCTTAATCTAAGAGTTCCTGGGCTCTGTGCTTGCTTTTGTTGTGCAGAATGAGGCTGACAGAACACTGATCTACGTCACCCTCTACATTTCTGAGTGCCTGAAGAAGCTGCAAAAGGTAAGAAAAGTGAATTTCTGTGCAGGAGGGAAACAGAATCTGTTCTGGGGATTGTACTCAGGAAAGGATTTCCTGATATTCTCCTCCCAGTGACACAAGCAATCCTGGTCATGCCAGTCCCAGCTGTCAGAGCCACAGATACTCCAAGGCTCTGTATGTTATGTTGCTCTTCTTGATGAGTTTTTAAGTGTTACAGATGGGTAAAATATTTGGGTGTAATGCTCCCTCAGCTTTTGTTTATAACTGCTAATCCATTGTTTGCCTGGTTCTTCCAGTGTAACTCCAAAGGCCAAGGAGAGAAAGAAATGTACACACTAGGAATCACTAACTTCCCAATCCCTGGGGAGCCTGGCTTTCCACTTAATGCCATTTACGCCAAACCTGCCAACAAGCAGGAGGAAGGTAAGGCTGATCCAGCCCCTCTATCAGCTGCATTTCTGTGACTGCAATTAGGAAAATTACCGTTAAAACTGGATTTTCTAAATATGTGGTCTGTCCTCCGAAGGCAGCACAAGCTGGATTTTCTGACCTCAAGGGCCCAGTGACTCCCCTGGATCCATGGATCCAACAGAGCAGATTTATAGGGTCCAAGAATACCTTTTGCATCAGGTAATCACAGCTAAACCCTAGTAATGGAGCTCAAGCCAGAACAGGAAGGCCACAATAATGAGCAAAGGTGACTGAGAGAAGAAAACAGTTTGGATGATCCTTTTTACTGATAAAAACGTCTTAAAAATCCCAAATATTGCTGTAAATTGAGCAAACCAACTCAGCCAGATGGCGAGCACCTGCAGATGTGAAACTCTCTCCTGAAGCAGTGCTATCTGATGCCTCCTTGTAAAATCCAGTCTGACTTGGTGCTCCCCAGTTTACCTTGGTTTCCCTGTGCTGCTTTCAGAGGTGATGAGGGCCTACCTGCAGCAGCTGAGGCAAGAGACCGGCCTTCGCCTCTGCGAAAAAGTGTTTGATCCTCAAAGTGACAAGCCCAGCAAGGTGAATGACTTTAAAGTCACTATTTTATCCATCAGATGGAAAATACTTTTGCATATTTTCTGACTTGATGCTTCCTTTTGCAGTGGTGGATCTGCTTTGTGAAGAGGCAGTTCATGAACAAGAGTCTCTCAGGCCCTGGGCAGTGAAGAGGCAAAGTGGCAACAACTTATAAGTGTTTCCACAGCAAGATGTTCCCGTCTTTTGCCTTTGTTTTGGATGCATTTTGTACCAGGGAAGAACTAACTGCTTATGAAGAAAAAAGAAAAAACAAAACAAAACAAAACAAACCTGTCAATGAGAGGGGGAGGGGGAGAGCAAAAAGATAAGTTGTGTAAGCAAAAATTATTAAGCTGGTGCTTAATAAGTGATTTTCTACACGCTGCTTCAGATGCCACCTGCTTTGTTGTTGTGGCTACAGCATCTGAAACAGCACTGGTATTTAAGAGAAGAAATGGGCCTGCTGTGGGGCAAGGGAGCTGTGTCATTGCTCTGCTGGCTGGAGTCAGTGTCAGTGTCCAGGGCAAATAGACCTCTCATGCCGTGTTGTCCATGAAGTGATTTTTACACTGTATTCATTAAACTTCGCTTGTAATTAATGTGGTAACTACTGTGTGCCCCATGGACAATTTCCAGGGAAATCAGAGAGGGGTTTTTTTGTGAAAGGATCTGCTCTGGTGAGACTTCCCCCCCCTGCAGAGCTGCCTCCAGCCATGGGGTCCCAGCACTGGAAGAACATGGAGCTGTTGGAGCGAGTCTAGAGGAGGCACTGAGGTGATCAGAGGGCTGGAACAGCTCTGCTGGGAGGAAAGGCTGAGAGAATTGGGATTGTTCAACCTGGAGAAGAGAAGCTCTGGGGTGACCTAATTGTGGCTTTTCAGTACCTGAAGGGAACTTACAGGAAAGATGGAGAGAGACTGTTTACAAGGCCTGGAGTGACAGGACAAGGGGGAATGGCTTCACACTGACAGAGGTTTAGACTGGATATGAGGAAAAAATTCTTCCCTGTGAGGGTGGGGAAGCCCTGGCACAGGTTGCCTTGACAAGCTGTGGCTGCCCCATCCCTGGAAGTGTCCAGGCTGGATGGGGCTTGGAGCAACCTGGGATAGTGGAAGGTGTCCTTATCCTTGGCAGGGGGTTGGAACGAGGTGACCTTCAAGGTCCCTTCCAACACAAACCATTCTGTGATTTTATGATTATTGTGTAACAGTAATCAGTAGAAAGTGAATAATTCCTACTGATAACAGTGGGATTGATGCAGGAGCTGCAGTTTCAGCATTTTACCTGTTTATTTAGCAGGTCTGTCTTCACAGAGCTGTGCTCCACTGTACTCAAGTGCCTTCAAATGGTACTGCAGGCAGATCCCACACAGCTGAGTCTGTGGCTGCCTTCCTGGATTCAAACACACCCAAACTCGTAAAAACTGGCTGTTCTGTCAGTCAGGTGGTTTCTGGAAGAACACAAGTCCAAGTTTGGTTTGTTCAGTTTTTTCCTTCATGGCAGTGCTGGTCTCACTGACACCACACAGCACCAGCACACTTTTAGTGTTACCTGAAGCCCAGTGCTGGTGATGTTTTGCTGCCTAGCGTGTTTGTTTGCTGAGAGCTGTACTCCTCTCCAAACAGCAGTGACGGCACGTCCAAACTAAAAGCTCCCACTATTGGCTGCAGCAGCCGGCAGAAAGTATTCTCGGGACAAGGGGCAGACTCTGGAGCAGGGGGGAGGCACAGGGAGTGCGTGTCTTCCGTGGGAGACACAGAACCGAGCAGGTGCGAGGAG